AGGGCAGAGACAGAGAGATACAGAGAGAGGGGGAGAGAGAGAGAGAGACATAGATAGATACAGGGAGAGAGGGAGGGAGGGGAGAGAGAAATATATCAAAAGGATTTTGTGGTTCCCGTTATTTTTTAATAACTGGTTCTCTGCCCTAATGACTGGCTGGGTAGGCGTGGCTGGGGGGTGTCATGTGACTGGTGGAAGTGAGTGACATCGAATTGGCCACACCCACCCAGGTTTTGTGGCTCTTGGTGTTTTCTTCTGTGGAAAATGGGTCCAAATGGCTCTTTGAGTATTTAAGGTTGCAGACCTCTGCCCTATATCATTCCAGCCAAATGGCTATCCAATCTCTTCTTAAAAACCTCCAGTGATGGAGCACCCACAACTTCTGGAGGGAAGTCATTCCATTGATTACAGTAGTCCTCGATTTACATCCACAAGAGAGCCAAAAATTTCTTTTTGCTAAGTGAGACATTTGTTAAGTGAGTTTCACCCAGTTTTATGACCTTTCTTGCCACAATTGTTAAGTGAATCACCACAGTTATTAAGCTAATAACACAATTGTTAAGTGAATCTGGCTTCCCCATTAATTTTGCTCATCAGAAGATAGCAAAAGGTGATCACATGACCCCAGGACACTGCATAAATAAATATGAGTTATAAATACAAGTCAGTTACCAAGTGTCTGAATTTTGATCACGTGACCATGGGGTTGCTACAACAGTCATAAGTGTAAAAAAGCACTCATAAATCACTTTTTTCAGTGCTGTTGTAACTTTAAACGGTCGCTAAATGAACTGCTGTAAGTCGAGGACTATCTGTACTTCTCACTGTCAGGAAATTTCACCTTAATTGGATCTCTCTCTTTGATAAGCTTCTATCCACTATTTCTTGTCCTGCTCTCAGGTGCTTTGGTGAATAGGTTGAATCCCTCTTCTCTGTAACAGCCTCTCAAAATTTGGAAGACTACTATCATGTCACTCCTAGCTCTTCTCTTCATTATATTAGACATGCCCAGTTCCTGCAACTGTTCATTGTATGTTTTAGCTTCCAATTCCCCTAATCATCTTTGTTGCTCTTCTTTGCGCTCTTTCTAGAGTCTCAATATCTTAACTGTGGTGATCAAAAGTGGACACAGTGTGGTCTTACCAATGCAGTGTAAAATAATACTAATACTTCACGTGATCTTGATACTATCCCTCTGATGATGCAGCCTAGGACTTTATTGACTTTTTTGGCAGATGCAACATACTGCTGGCTCATATTTATTTATTTATTTATTAGAATTTGTCAAACAAAAACGAGAACAAGAATAAAAGAATAAGGATATAATGACAGGGACAATTGGCACGTTAGTGCAATTATGCTCTCTCTCTCTAACCATTTATTTGTTTATTTATTTATTTTTATCATACTTATATGCTGCCCTTCTCCCGAAGGACTCGGGGTCGCTCACAACAATAAAACAACAAGACAGTAAAATAAATACTAAAATAATCCAATTAAAATCCCTGACAATTAAAACTAAAATCCCCAACAGATCAGGAGATTTGTTGAAAAAGCCACGTCTTCAGGTAACCGTGGAAAGAGCGGAGGTCGGGGGCCGTCCGGAGCCCAGTGGGTAACTCGTTCCAGAGGGTCGGTGCAGCCACAGAGAACACCCTCTTCCTGGGCGCTAACAGGCGACATTGTCTAGCCGATGGCACCCGGAGGAGAGCAGTCCTATGTGAGCGCACTGGGTGGTGGGATGCTGGTAGGAGGTGGTCCTGCAAGTACCCCGGGCCCGTGCCAACATATTTAATTGGTTGTGCACTAAAATACCAAGATCTCACTTACAGTTCTTAATAATACACATTCTTCCCATCATAAAAATATAACGCACAATGTTTACATGTTGAAAAACAATGATTACTCATACTCATACTCAAGAGTATTAGCATTAAAATCAGGGAGGAGTTGGTCCTATATATTTAATTAAACTACTCCAAGCATGATATTAATCCAGGATCTAATCAGTGGTTCCAAGAAGGTCATGGGGATAGGATGTAACTTTGCAGTGCTTTCAAATACACGCCCATGAGATACAACAAAAACTTTATGGTACTATGGTACTCTTCTAATAGCTATTCTAAAGAATACCACTCCCAGCTAAAAGAGGTGTCCAGAAGAACATCCTAGTCATTAATGTCAGTCATGAGAAATTAAAAATAAAAACAAAATAGGAGAGTTCTCTCTCAAGTACTACATGGTGTAAGTCCCCTTCCTGCCTGATATCCAGGTTAAAATTAAAAAGACCATAAAAGAAACTTTAATGGCAAATTAAAGACTAGGTGATAATTTATCAAAAATATGGTATGTTGCTTTGAAACTTGTTTATTGAGGCCAGTAAACTCATGCTATTTATACATAACCTGCCTCTGGACACCACCATTTTAGCTTTATGGCTGGGAAAGCTTTTATGCATATATGTTCACCACAGGCAGGAATATAACCCAAGCAATGATTTTTAGTTTTTAATTATAACAGAAGGAGATTTATTTAAGAGAATGCATTCTACCAGGGGAGATTCAAATATTCCGTGGGTCTGGACTTGGGGACAAAGACAGAAGGAACTAAACCCATGAGACTGGCAAGAGGAGTGACAGATAAAGTGACAGCTAGATTAAGTCCTTAACTCTTTAGTCACACCTCACTTTCTTTGCAGCCAGTAAATTTTAATTTAATTCCACTGAAGCCACCAACAATTCCAGTAGAATTGTAGATGGATACTTAATGGTCTTTTGTCTTTACAAAACAGGCTTACGCACACACACGCGCGCGCGCACACACACACACACACACACACACACACACACACACACACACTGCTTTCTACTGCTTTAAAATTAGAGATGTTTAATTCATTCTCAGTTTTATTAAGATCATTCTGCTTCAGTTCCAGTCTAAAATGGAACTATGCCAGCTGGCATAGGGGCCTGAAGGAGAAGCTATTGCCTGGAAGTGGTTGATGCAACTAACAGAGAAGACACCCCCCCCCACCTCTCCCCTTCAAATATATATGTTTTTTTAGTTTATTTTCATTTTTGTAATTTTAATTTGTTTTTATATTTATAATTCTTGGATAGTGGTACATTTTATCTTACTGTAGGGTTGCTCAGGGTTGCTTGAAATGTGAGATTGGTGACAAATACATTTGATAATAATAATAATTTTTTTAAAAAATACAATATTACCCAAATAGATGCCTCAACAAGATCAAGTTCTTAATCTGACTTTAATGCATTTCTTTTTAAAAGACTAGTTATCTGACCTCTTCCTCTTTTGCCTGGTACAACAAGTACATCAGAATTGTTAAGGATGGATTATGTAAACTATGGAAGATACTTTCTTGCTTCAGTTCTATGAAACTTCCAAAATCAAGTTAAAATGTACAAATTTATAGTTCACCTTTCCGTGTAAAAATAGTTATTCATTGTTCTGTACTATTTGACATCAATTGTGCTTCTAAACACAGTGCATGCCAATGCTTTTTAAAATGCATACTGATTTTTAACAAGCCACTATGCCACCTCTCGTAGAAACCCTTTCATTTATGCAGTTTCACATTTTAAGGACATCACAATCACAACCATTTATAAAGTAGTTTTAATAGCAAGTCTTAAGGGTCAAAATAATGAAGATGTTGGAAATTTATTGCTGGCTTTTCTGTTTCTTCGTTTTATAAAAAAAAAGAAAATTTGTTTAATGAGTTCGGAAGGGAATTATATGCACATATACATATGTTTTTAGGATTCAGAATAGAATCGGTGAACAGGATGAAAAGAATTGTATGTCCAAAAATATACTTTTAGGTAACTGCTAATATTGTTGGAAAAACTCACCATATTGGTTAGGTTTTTCTGCAAAACCCCTCAGACAGACCTCAGAAATAAAGCAACTAACAATTACCAAAAAATGCCCATATTGAAAATGATAACATAATTATAGCAAGAACATTATGAAATAATATGACCGAATGTTCTACTTTCCTGCAAGGGCAAATCAAATGTTGGCCTATCTCAGCTATCTTCCTTTTCCCCACTTTTACAGAGAACAAAAATTTGCCAATATTGTAGAGCAAGAAATGACTAAATTCACAATACATCAAAAGATGTCACGCTTTCTCAGATGGCTTTAACAAATCCATTACAATTGCTTATTGATGAGGGACTTGTAATGTGTCTCATACAGAAGCCATATATAAACCACTCAGTCTTCTCATTTTCTCCTCATTTCTTTTTTGAATCCTTTATTAATTGACTATTCTCTGCATCTGATGAAGTAAACCCCAACTCATGAGAGTTCATGCCTTTAATACATTGTGTTAATTAGAAAAAGTGCGACCAGCTTCCTGATTTTTCTCCACCCAATTGTTCTTCATTTTATTAGTGACAACTCACTCCTAAGTTTCGTCTAATAGTATGCAAAACATAAGAGAAAAGGACTCCCCCCCCCAAAGAAAATAGCATGAGAAAACATAACCCTAACCCATAGTGTTGTGGTAGTTATATACATTGTACACCCTCTCCTCTTGGAGATTTTAAGGGATTTTATTTTCCAACCTTTTGCATTAAGTAGTGTCAAAATTTTCAAGGTTCATGCTAAGAGCAATGGGTGGAGGTCATCTAATATTCGTGATCAAAACATCCTACAATTCTTAATGGATCTGGGGTGGGGTGGGGGGACAAAATGATCAGAAAAGAAAGATTACAGATAGAAAATATCATATCTCCATCTATAAGAGCTGGTAGAGTTGTTGCAAATAAAACTCACAAATCAGTGATACTTTCTGTTTTTTCCTGCTTCCAAGTCAGTAGATCATTTAAGGATAACTTATAGATCAGTTCCTTACTCATTCTGGGAAAGGTGCTGTTTTCCCAGGACATTATGACTGCAGGGTGGGAAATTCCTTTTGTTATCTAGATCCCTCCCCACATTTCTAAGGGATGTGAATATGCCACTGTATGTTTAGCTATGTTTGTTCACATTTATTCCATTATTCAGCTGTGTTTGTTATATTTATTCCATTACTGCAGAAAGAGGTTGGTGCCTTTACTTGTACCTGAAGAGTTTAACGCAGTGGTTATAACAGTCAGCTATAGCTATCAACCCGTGATCCAAAATGGTGATATCGTTTGGTCCTTGCAAACCCTCACTCACCACAACATCACAGAGGGTTGAATCAGGATTAAACATCACAACGCAGTTTTGACCTTGATCGGAAACTAAGAAGTTTCCATGACCATCCACGGTGACTCCAGAAGGGTTTTCAAAACTGAATTTTTTCCCATGATGGGGACCTACGGTCTTTCTCAGGCTTCGTTCTCTGTCAATAATTTTGATGCAGCAGCCTTGAAACCTTCCAAACAGTTGCCCCTCTGCAACCAGCATGTCTTCATTCTGAGTAGGTGATGACAAATTAAAAAACAACAACTATGTTGGTTAACTACAGTAAGTTTACATGAGACTTAAAAAAAAGCATACCCTTCTTCCTGAGATTGATCCAAGTAGGAACGAGATGTTATACAAGTAGTCCTTGACATATGACCACTACTGAGCCCAAAATTTATGTTGCTAAGTGAGAAATTTGTTAAGTGAGTTTTGCCTCGTTACGATTTTTCTTGCCACATATGTTAAGAATCACTGCAGTTGTTAAGTTAGTAACATAACATTACTAACTTAACATTGTTAAGTAGTGGTGGGTTGCTACTGGTTCGCCCCAGATCGGGCGAACCGGTAGCGGTGGCGGGAGGCTCCACCCACCCACTTGGACGTCTCCGCGCATGTGCAGAAGCACGCACACCCACAAGCAAACCGGTAGCGGCTGAAATTGAAACCCACTACTGTTGTTAGGTGAATCTGGATTCCCCATTGACTTTGCTTGTCAGAAGGTTGAAAAAGGTGATTACATGACCCTGGGACACTGCAACCGTCATAAATGTGAGTCAGTTATCAAGCATCCAAATGTAAATCACATGACTATAGGGATGCTGCAAGCATCTTAATTGTGAAAAATGGTCATAAGACACTTTTTTCAGTGCCGTTGTAACTTTTAATGGTGACTAAATGAACTGTTGTAATCGAGGACTACCTATAGTATCTGGCTGGAGATGACCAATATATATGGACTATTTCATAGAAAGTAAGACTGTTCTTTTCAGGAGCTTTGCCACTGAAATCCACTAACAGTCATCTAGTGGAGTGACACATTGGAAATTGCAAATAGTACTAGTTAGGACCAAATCCAGCTGGGATGCTCTAACAACAGATTTAAATAAGGATGTCAGTAGAACACAAGCATATTGGATAGAAATACCATCTCATTTTCTGAGTCTTCAAATATTTGTGGTTGTTACTTGCATTGCTATCCTTATACTTTTATGCTAAAATGTTATACCTTCTCTGCTACCAATCCCTCTATGAATGTTGAGCAAACTTTTTACCTTTCTGGGCATCCAATCATACCTCATTGACAGCCATACGCACCGGCCTGTAGAATCCCTCTATTGACTGTGTCTTCAGGATGGCATTCATTCTCCAGTCCACCCCAATGATGTTGATTTTTCCTCCATTGGTCCAGTCAGACACTGCAATTTTATTGGACTTCAGAACTGTTATCCCATATGAATAAGGCCAGGTGATTTTGGGAGACTTCAGTTCATGGATCAAATCTCCATCCTTAGAGAAGAGCTGGATGATCTTAGTCCCACAGGTCACAAGTAACACACCGTTTTTCATGCAGGTGATATCTCCCAGCCCTTTTACTGGTTCGAATCCATATGAAAAGCGATGTTTAGGACGACCATCAGTGCTGTAGATCTGGATATTCCCCGTACCACTGTCTTTCACTACCAAATCGCCTTCAAGGTTTGTTGTCAGACTGGTTGGCCAGATCAACTTCCCTGGATTTGTACCAAACCCGCCCACAATTTTTATTAGGGAATTGTAATAAATCTTCTGGATTCCAGAAAGTTTCCATTTGTTATTAAAGCGGAGAGATTTTTCTATCTAGGAAACAGCAAAAGAAATAGGAAAACAGATTGTCTAATGATAACTCAGGAATTAGTTCAAGCACTGGATAGCACACATTTCTTTGGCTATAGATCCACATTCCCAGAAGCATAAAATGATTTCCTCCACCAGGTGAACCACTGACTCCATATTTTCTATTTAAAAGATACCTCTCTTGAGCACTTTCACATGGGATCTTGGTGCTATTTCAAACTAAGTCTGGACCTGTCTGATCTTACAAAGTCAGCTGTCTGGGAGATGAGTCAATCTAACACTGGTTTAGCTGTGGAGCATCTGAAATTACAGCAAAGCTCTTCTTTACACTTGGGAGTACTTAGCTCTGCACTGGTTGTAGCTGGCCTGTTCTCACACTCATGAACCATTCCTCCAACTTTCTCATTGTTTTCCCTTTTGTCCCCGCCTCAAAAGTTTTGTGTTTACAGAACTGAAGGCAATTATAGGTCAACTTCAAGTTGATTTAAAAGAGGGATAGAAACTTTGATGACATGGAAATCTTCCAATATAGTTCTGGAGCCATGGTGGCTTAGTGGTTAGAATCCAGTACTGCAAGCTACTGCTGGCTGACTGCAGTTCGGCAGTTCAATTCTGACTGGCTTGAGGTTGACTCAGCCTTCCATCCTTCAGAGGTTGCTAGAATGAGGACTCAAGATTTTGGGGGGCAATATGCTAACTCTGTAAACCACTTAGAGAGGGCTGTAAAGCAGTATGAAGCGGTATATAAGTCTAAGTACTATTGCTATTTAACTCAGAGACAGGATCAGGACTGAAATCCAGCAGGTTCTGACAGGTTCTGAAGAACTAGTAGCGGAAAATTTGAGTAGTTCAAAGAACCAGCAAATACCACACTGGCTGGTCCCAGAGTGGGGTGGGAATGGGAATTTTGCAGTATCCTTCCCTTGCCACGCCCACCAAACCACACCTACCAAGCCACATCATGCCCACCCAGCCACGCCCACAGAACCAGTAGTAAAAAAAATTGGATTTCACCACTGGACAGGATGGATAATACCCAGAAACTTACTGATGGAGATGTACAGCTACAGTAATCTACCGTACCTCTTTGAACATAGTTGGGGAGAACTAAAGGTGCCACGCTAACACTTCAGTCTAAATATTAGCAGGTTATTCCATGGCCTCCATTTCTTTCCCATGAGATCTCCCATTACCCTCCCCTCCCCCTGTCTTTTTTCTGCAACTTCCCTCTCTTGTCCCTCTTGTCTCTTGTCCCTCTCTTGTCAGCTCCCATTGTTACATCGATGCTGCAAAATATTGAAGGTGTATTAAGTGGGTAGGTGGAGAGTACAAACAAGGCACAAAGCAAATGAGAACAATCTTTGTACTTTTCATCATCAAGAGCCTTCAGGTAATAAGAGTCTAACATTTCCTTGGTCAGGAGTGGAAGTTCCTCCTATAATATAATAACAGGGAGTCATGATGTCATCCTGTTACATTCCAAGATTACCCAGAAGGTTAAACGAGGGCATACAAAGAGGTCAAAGCCATTTATTTGCTTATTGAATTTATACTCCACTTTTTCCACCAGAGGATATTGCTTAAAATAATTAATAGAAAAATAAATACTTAATACAAACACAGTTTAAAAACATGATTAAAACTGGGCTTGATTTCTGATAGTTTTATGGACATATTAATGTTGTTTTCTTGGCAGCAATCGGAAATGGTTCACTCCATTCTTCATCCTTGGTGTTTTTCAACACTCCAGGCTACAACTCCCAGTGTGTCTTATCTAGGCAGTAAACAGTTTGTACACAACAGCCACACAACATAGCACCATATTCCTTTTTTGGCAAAGCCTGCCTGAATCAATCCTTCCTTCCTTCCTTCCTTCCTTCCTTCCTTCCTTCCTTCCTTCCTTCCTTCCCCAAAAGGAAGATAATAACACAAGCTAGCCCAATTTTTCTTTACTATTAATTCCAAAGCCAGAAAACAGTCAGTGAGAAGTGGTAGCAGCAGAAGAAGAGCTTTTCAAAGATCTGGGACTGTTGAGAAGGAATGGTAAAATTGTTTGTAAATCATAATTTGAATAAGGCTTTGTTTGAACTGTGGAGTCCTTAGTGCTCTCTGAGCTTGGTGGTTTTCTTGCAGATGTTTCATTACCAAACGTTGATCTTGCTGTTGCGATCTTGTGAGATCCAGCCATGAATGGTGTGAATGGGTTTTAATATTTTAATTTTAAAATGTTTTTTATAATGTTTTTTTTAAAAAATGCATTATAAGCTGCCCTGAATCTCCGGAGAAAGGCGGCATATAAATTGAACTAATAAATAAATAAATAATAAACTAGGTTGTGTAGTGTCATCAGTGTACCATTTTCGTTTATTAATCATTTAGAGTGATTGTGGCTACTGTTTCAAAGAACTTGGAAAGTGAACTTCCCCTCTCTGTTATACCCCCTCACCTAATGCGGTATGAGGTGTACACCTATCTAAGTGTGATAAATAAATAAACAAAATAGTAAGGTGAGCCAAAAAAATTATAGAAAAATCAAATTAAAAATTAAAAACCTAACAATCTACTTATTATTGCAAAGCAAGCTCCTACTGTATTTTAAAACAGTCAGCTGCAGAGATTTGATGGGAAGTTTAATTCTGTATAATCCCTGGGGAGGAAGACTGTATTAACAAGATTTCAATGCTTAGGCCATGTGTAACGATTCCAACATTCTGAGGTAAAACCTAACACCTTGTTCTCTGTTTCTGTGATATTAAGGCAGTTGTAAGTTTTCCACAGTTTGAAATGGCTGTAAAAAGTGGAGCCAGCAGAATAGCAGTAGCCAAGAAAGTCGATCCCAATTATGGCTCTTTCATGTAAACTGGCATCATTTTTTGCTGTGGGAACAACATATCTTCTAGGAGGCCTGATCAGTTTATGTTCCCAAAATCATTCTGCAAATGAACTTGGCATGAAAACAAACAGGTTTCCCCATCCACAATTATGTTGAAAATATAAAGCTAAACCAGCTACAGGTACCTGAACACACTTGTAAGTGGATCATAAGCTTCCTAACAAACAGGAAGCAGCAGGTGAAGCTAAGCAGAATCACAGCGGATACATGTACAATTAACACAAGGGTGTGTGCTTTCCCCACTTCTCTCTGTATACCGATCTCTAACGATCCATCTGTTAAACTACTGAAGTTCGCAGATGACACAACAACGATCGATCTCATTCAAGACAATGATGACTCTGCATACAGATGGGAAGTTGAACAACTAGCCTCGTGGTGCGACCAGAACAATCTGCAACTGAACACACTCAAAACCGTAGAAATGGTGGTAGACTTCAGGAGAAACCCTTCCATACTCCCACCTCTTACAATACTAGACAACACAGTATCAACATTAGAGACCTTCAAATTTCTAGGTTCTACCATATCGCAAGATCTAAAATGGACAGCTAACATTAAAAACGTCATCAAAAAAGCACAACAAAAAATGTTCTTTCTGCACCAACTCAGAAAGCTCAAACTGCCCAAGGAGCTGCTGATACAGTTCTACAGAGGAATTATTGAATCTGTCATCTGCGCCTCTATAACTGTCTGGTTTGGTTCTGCAACCCAACAGGACAGGCACAGACTTCAGAGGATAATTAGAACTGCAGAAAAAACAAGTACTACCAATCTGCCTTCCATTGAGGACCTGTATACTGCAAAAAGAGGGCTGTGAAAATATTTACAGACCCCTCACATCCTGGACATAAACTGTTTCAACTCCTACCCTCAAAATTATGCTATAGAGCACTGCACACCAGAACATCTAGGGTTACTAGACACAAGAACAGTTTTTTCCAAACACCATCACTCTGCTAAACAAATAATTCCCTCAACACTTTCAAACTATTTACTAAGTCTGCACTACTACTATTAATCTTCTCATCATTCCCACCACCCATCTCCTTCCACTTATGACTGTATGACTGTAATTTTGTTGCTTGTATCCTTATGATGTATATTGATATTGTTTCCTGATTGCTTATTTGTACCCTATGACTATCATTAAGTGTTGTACCTTATGATTTTTGATGAACGTATCTTTTCTTATATGTACACTAAGAGCATATGCACCAAGACAAATTCCTTGTGTGCCCAATCACACTTGGCCAATAAAAAATTCTATTCTATTCTATTCTATTCTATTCTATTCTATTCTATTCTATTCTATTCTATTCTATTCTATTCTATTCTATTCTATTTATCATAGCCAAAATTAATTTCCTCATACGTCATCTTTTTCAGATTTGTTGGATTTATAGCTCCAGTCTTCCTGGGTCAGTATCCACAGAGACTGTAGATGATGTGAGGTTGTATTTTGTCTGAAGGTTGAAGGTTACAGAAGTTGAGATAGAAACTCAGGTCGATAGTGCAAGAATCAGTACACATAACATATTATGTTTTTGTTACTAATATTATGCCAAGGGGTACTATACAAAGTAAGGAGTTGTATAAAAACTGATCTGCTTGATATTTTCAAAATATTTTGCATATTTCCAGCTGCAAATTCAAAAGGCATTTATCTTTCTTTCCACTGACTAACAAAACTGTATTTGAGTAGATTAAATCTTTTCAACCAAGAGGCCTTCTAGCTCAATCTACATTCTTTGTCTACACAACATTGAAGGGCTTACTATAACTGCAGATCTTCAAAGCCTTTTAAATAATACAGGTACAGACTTGTAAATTATATATGTGATATTTCAGTAATGTAATCGCAAGCCAGTATTTTACTGAGATCAAAGGAAAAAGGATGTTCTTCTCAAGGGATAGTTGGTAAGAATTAATAAAGAAATTGCGTACTCATAAAGAGGTGATGATACTATTTATTAAAGGAATGTTTACACTGCTACTTGGGTTATATTTTTTTTCACTGATCCTCTGCCAGTCTTCTGTAAAATATAAAGAAGCCTACATAATGTTCTTCATCTTCCATTTAATACCAACGAATTATAGAACTGTTTAATTTAATAAAGGAAGCTAAACTGTACGCTTTAACTCCTTGCTTTATAACTTAGCCAAGTAAGTCTATAGAACATATATTTAAGGATTCCACATTTTTAATATGCGACAGCAGCTGGTTGGAAACAGAAAGAGAAAAGGAGATTGTCTAAATCTGCTAAGATTGTTTTTAATATCTTCAAGCTGTTTTCCCCAACATAGACCTATTGGAAGAAATGCTAGTCTGTTCAAAGCATACCAGTTTTGGCACATATGTTTATGATCTCCTTAATAGATTATTTTTGATCCACATTGATAAAAATTTTATCATAAACTTAGTCAGCACCTGGATGCAATGCACTTGTCATTGAGATCCAACTCCAATTGGTTCTTCTCATTACAATTGTACCTGATAAATTGGTCTCTGGAATCAAGGATCAAATGGATATTTCATCTCTGCAACAGAGCTCTTTGCCTGGCCACTTCCCCTCATCTTCCTCCTCCTCCTCCTCCTCCTCCTCCTCCTCCTCCTCCTCCTCCTCCAAAATGTATGATGCTGCTTAAGGAAATGCTCAAAAAAGACCCTCTTGCACTTCATCAAAATAGTTGTCATCTTTTTTGACAACTGACGGGAATGTTGATCTGAGTTTATAATGTATAATGTTTGCTTTTAAGGAGGTCCAGTTTGAATTGTGTGTTATTTGTGGATTTTTATCTCTGGATATATTTACATACATTATTCTTGCTTTTAAATTGGTAAAAAGTTGGTGGGTGTAAGTAGTGAGTAAGTAGTCACCCTAATTTTAGTGTGGCTTAACAAACACTATTGTTCCTGTAGTTTTTTTTTTTTTTTTAAATTGCTGATCAGTTTTAACTTCCTTTCCCCTCCCATCTACTGTCACCCACTGGCAGGACAAACAATCACTCTTCATCATATGGAGATACCATGAAATCTATCTGGAATAGAATCATCCAATAGTTCTAAAACCCCAATTGAGGGGACGGGAGTTCTTTCAGTTTTCTATAGGAATATTGATGCTATGATATTTCTACAAGTTTAAAATACCATGACTTACCAAGAGATCAATAGAGCAATATTAAAAGCTTTTTATTTTTATCAATTCAAAATATATCCTGCTGAATAATTATAACATCACATTTCTGTACTCTTCATTGCTGCACAGTCATCGTCCCCCTAATCTCCCCATCCCGAAGCTCAAATAAAGTTGCATTTTTAAATAGGACTGTCAATCAGATT